AAACGAGTGCGCTGTGTGGGGGCTCCTCACAGCACCGCTCTGGCGCGTCCTGTCCCGTCGCGTGCACTGAGCACTGGGGCATGGCCCTGTCACCGCACTGGGACAGCCCCTATGTCACCATGTGTCACAAAGGGCCCTTGGACACCCTGTCCCTTTCCATTCCACGGTTACCATTCTGCACCGTGTCACAAAGGGCCCTTGCAGACACTGCCACCTGCCCCGGTTCCGCCCCCATCCCCCCCAAAGTGGCCCAGGTTGGAAGGAATCCCTTGCCCAAAGTGTCTAAGACAGCCTGACAGGATCTTTAGGAACACCTCAAACCATCAGCAAACGCTGCCCTGCTCTGCAGGCTCAGGGCAGCAGAAGGAGCCCCCAGGGCTGCCGACGCAGGCGCAGCAGGAAGGGCACGGGGCCTTGCACAGAATCTGTACAGGGGCCTGGCAGCACTGAAATCAGCAGGTGTGGCAGAGTCCCCACCGAGGCAGACCTGCCACCCCAGCCGAGCCCTGGCAGTGCTGGTGCCCTTCTCCTGCCCCAGAGACCTGTGCCCCTGGGGGGTTTCTGTGCCAGAGGGCCAAAGCCAAAGCCCACGTGCATTGGGGGCTGGGCTCCTTCCTGCAGGGGTCTTGGCAGGAACATTTGGAACAACTGCTGGCAACTCTTAGTCTTGGTCAGATTAATTACATTAATTGGAATTATTTTCCCATTGAAGTCATTTCATGCACCTCAAAAAACATCTTTGTTGGGAAGGCACAGAAGGATCTGGCAGACTTCACCAATTAATTGGAGTGGCCGGAGAATGTGAAAGATGTGCAAGTTTGCTTCCCATCTCAAAGCAGCAAGTCCTTTGCCTTAACATCATCCTTTGAGAGTCACATTACAAAATATAACACTGCACAGAGGCTAAAAAAAGGCCATTCTTTGGTTTGCAAACCTTTGCTTTTCTATGGAGGGATGATAATATCCTAATTCTCTGAAGGATTAAAGCTCTCAAGGAAACAAAGTCCACTCAGTATTACAAAAGTAGTCCAAACAATTGAGTCGATTGCAAAAAGGCTAATCCTCCCCCTGGTACAGATATCTAGGTGGCCAATAAATTTCAGCTCTCCCCTCTTCTTTTTTGCATGAGAACCAGGACCACTAACAGGAAAAGTCACACATATTCCTTATGTCCTCCATAAGCAAGGCTGTGCTAAACCACGGATGATGCTGTTAAACTGACTCAAATTCCAGCCTAGACCTCTCACTTCCAGGCAACTCCTTCCCCAACACACCCACCAATACCAACACCCCCCAAAACATGCTCACAGAACTCCTCAACACCCCACCAGGACCCCCAGCTGTTCCCATCCCTCCACAGAGCTTTCCCACCCTCCAGCAGACCCCCTGGTTCCCTGCACATGCCGTGGCATGGCACTCAGCAGGATCTGCTCCAAGGCCTTCCACGGTAGCAAGCTCAGGCTGCCAGGCCAATGGTTCCTGGATCATCCTTCCCACTGACCCTTCCTGTGCACGGCTCTTCCATTTACACATTTGAGCTCAGCTTGGACTTCTCCCCTTAAGCAGGATTGCTGGGAAAGGATGGAGAGCAGCCTGGCAAGCTCTTTCTCCAGCTCCCTCTTTACTCTTGGGGCAGCTAGAACATTGCACAGGAAAGCAACTGGTGCCACAAGGAGCGGGTGACGTCAGGGGAGATCACTCAGGACTGCTGTATCCTGAGGGAACACCGCTGGGCTTGGCCTCTGGGTACCTGCACAAACGTCAAGTCAGCCGCCTTAGTTTCCAGGACAGCCCTGTGCGGGCCAGCATCCTGATGTGGATGCAGGACTGCTGCAAGGCGCTGCTGGGAGCCAGCAGGACAGGACTGGCTGTCTTGTTTACATGTTGAAAATGAGTGAGATTGTATTTAGCTAGAAATTTAGGGATCCCTGAATTTGATAAGGAGCTGAGCCATTATAAGCTAAGAATTTATTTTTTTTTTATTCTGTATTTTAGCTAATTTTTAGCATTTGATTTTGTTTCAATACAGCAAAGTAGAGGCCCTTCTTTTGGTTTAGATTCTTTGGGGAATTGTTTCCCATCTGAAAGGAAGACTCTGTGAAGGCAGCGGTTGTCCGGGCCACAAATACAGGTCATGAAGAAACAAAAGACGTGGCCGAGGCCTCCTACATCCCACACTAAGGAGTCAGCCAAGGGAAAGGAGCTTTTGGGAGTCGTGCCTGGGGGAGGAGGGACAGGCAGTGGGGTTATGGCTGTCTCTTAGCTGGGGGACACGGCTCAAAGGGCAGATGGTTGAGGTTTTGGTGTTGGACTGCTGCTGCCCAGAGGATCCACTGCTACTGCAGAACTTTTCCATCTCTGTGTCTCTTTAATGTGGGTGAGCCTCTGCTCCCAGGTGTGGCCATGTAACTGGGTCCTTTCAATACCCAATCACTCTGGGAGGGATCCTCACCATGTGCTTGGGTGCCTGAGGGGAAAACAGGGACCCCGACCACCTCTGTAAGGGAGCGTTTCAAGGCTGCTTGTGGGAGCCCAGCAGCTGCTGCTGTTGCCAGGGCATTACACAGGTGACAGCCAGGGAACACCCAAAAACAAAGCCCCCCTCCACCTTTTTTTTCTCCTTCCAGGGCTGCCCAGACCCTGCTGTTTCTGCTGCTGCTCTGGATTTTTAGTACACTTCTAGCTCAACATCTCTGGGTCTGCCCAGCCTCATGCTGCTCCTGCCACAGCTTTGAGCTCATTGCTAAACTGTTTGCCACCCCGGGCCTGCACTCCTCTGCAGTTCCATCCTGGCCCCTCCAGGTTCCTGCTATAGTCCATGTCACCAACTTTATATCGCCCCACATTTGGGTGCCTAAACGACTGCAGTGGGTCGACCCTGGCTGGGTGCCAGGTGTCCACTGTCACTCTGTCACTGTCTTTCCCACTGGGACGGGGAAGAGAATAAGACAGAGAACAGCCAGCAGGGTGAGATAAGGCAGTTTTATTACAGTAAAATAAAGAACTAAGCAGAGATCTGTGCTTGCATGGGCTGAAGAGAAAAAAGTCACTCTCTACTTCCCATCTGATGTTTGGACATTTTCTGAAAAGAAAGGCTTCCGCATGTGTAACAGTTCCTCCAAAAGGCAAACAGTGGAAACTCACAAATGCCCCCCACTTCCTCTTCTCTCCCTCAGATTACCTCTCTGAGCTGTTGTCATAAGGTATGGAATATCCCTTTGGCTAATTTGGGTCATTTGGCTTGGTTGTGTCCTCTCCTAGGATCTTGCCCTCTCCAATCCCCTTTGATGGGAGAAGGAATGTCAGAGGGACAGCACTGCCAGGCAGTTGCCAAAACACTGGTCTGTTCTCAACACCTGCCTAGGTACTGAAATAAATTGGGCAGGACTAGAGGTCCTCTTTTAATGCTTTTATTCCAAGAATCAGCTTGGGTGCGGGCCCGAGGGGTCGCACACACTGCCACTGCTCCCAGATTCCACACGCAGGAGGAGGAGGTTGACTTTGCCACACGGCAGAGTCGGAGCTTCTGTCCTCACAGGAGTCTGCAGGAATGCTCGTCTTCTTTGGCTTGGAGTCTAGGATGTCACCCTGGCCGAGTTCCCTTTGGTCATTTCAGTTTTTAGGAAGAAGTCAGGGGACCCCTCTGCGTCTTCCTCGTTCGGTGGTGCTGTCTTGATTTCTTCTATTTAGTGCGGCTCGCTGTTTCGGGTTCTTATCGGTCTGTGTGTGTCCTGTGTGTCTCTGGTCTCCCTCATTTACATATAGGCGCTTATGTCATCCTCCTCCTCAGGGCCGAGGATGCCAGTCTGGGGAGCAGTGGTGGCGATCTCCCGACGGGACAGGGATATGACAACGAGGGTAAGTACAACTAATACATAACAAGAAGAAAGCTTACAACTTGAACTTGGGATAGACACCATAACAACTGAAGTGGTTTACAACAAGGCACTAACTAAGGTTTAATGCTTTCATCTGGGTTCTCTAAATTGTTTTTCACAGCCTCCACAGCTCCCAAAACACAGCAAACCAGCAATCCTGTTGTGACTACCGTTTCACCTCAAGACACAAACTATTAACTCGCAGTGCGCTCCTGGCACTGCTTAAAACACAAACCGCCGTCAGCTTACGCTGCTCCTCCTGCTCAAAACTGAAGAGCTCACACTCTTGAAACAAATTATTCTGTGGAAACATACAAACAAAACCACAGAGGCATTCATTGCATGTAAAGATGTCTCTTTTATTTATTTATCAATTTTATCTATTTATCAACAGCCTTTTAACCCTGCATATGCTGTACACCACCTCAAAGGTAGCTGTTTCAATTTTTAAACGTATCTTTTGTCCATAGTTCTGGCAGTTCCTGGTCTTTCTCCAGGTTGTCAATGAGGACACAGGAGCCTCCCTCTTCCCAGAAAATTCTGGGTGGGCCTGGACCCCTGCTGGCCCCTGGGTTAGAGAGAGCAGAGTCCTGCAGCAGTCACCAAAATGATTTACCAAAATATGGATATGATCTAGTATCAGTATCCAGCTGAGACAGACAAAGACTCTTTAACTGATTAGGGTTACAGAGTGTGTGTTTATTGGCAGTTTATTGGCAGTGCTGGGCCGATGGGCAGGGTGACCATTAATACACACAGCCCCGAATGCAGGTGAATACAGACTTTTATTTACCAAGATATTAAATACAAATACGTATTCATAACCCAGTTACCACTCACTCCCCGCTTCCTATGCCAGTCAAGAAAGAAGCAATTAAGCATGTGCAGTTTGTTCCTTGAAATAGGTCAGTGGTCTTATTATGGGAAGTGGTCACAAAAGGAGGAAGGAATATATCTCTTCTTCATTGTGACCTTTCTGCCTTTTCAGTCCAAAGTGACAAATCAGCCCCTGGCCAGGCTCCTAGTTTTGTGTTTCCAATTAGTTTCTGGTTTCCAATTATCTTATGTTCTTGAAGTTCCTCACAAGATTCTGCGTTTCTCATTACAAGCCCAGCTGAACAAACACAAGGTTGACAGACAATTAGTTATTGGCTAATGATTAGCTCCTCATTCTAGTAGGGCCTCTCTATTTTAATTTGATTTAGCGAGGATTAATTTTAATTAAGGCTTTAGCTTTTCTAATATCTGAAATTCTTCAAAGTTTATGTTTCAGCCTGAGAGAAGAACAAATTTCAGAGGACTGGGAGCACCTTTTGGAATGGCTGCAGGTAAAAAGACGGCACCCAGGTGCCGAAGATTTTTACAAAGAAGCTCTTGCTGACAGCTGTCCTGTCACCAAGGAAATGTGTAAAACTTGCATATCAGCCTGCAAGCAATGTCACAGATGACTGCAAAGCCATCCTTGAGAAGATGACCTATGCACTTAAGAAAGGGTAAAGGCTTATGGGATGCGTGGCAGGTGGATTATATTGGTCCCTTGAAGAAGTCAGGTGGTAAACACTTTGTGCTGGTAGGAGTGGAGATTATCCAAGCCCAAGCTTTGAAAAGAACTACAGGAGATAATACTGTCAAAGCATAGCAAGGGTGGTTTGGAATTTTCCCAAAACCACAAGAAAGTCAATCTGATAACGGGTCCCACTTCACTGCCAAAATTGAACAGGATTGGGCAAAAGGTGAAAGAATAAAATGGACTTTTCACACCCCTTGCTGCTCTCAAGCTAACAGGATTGTAGTTAGGACCAGGACCAATGGTTTCCTGAAGTGGCTCCTTAAACCACAGGAGGGAAGTTGGGCTCTTTGGCTAAGGGAAGCTGTAAAAAATATAAATGACAGATGGGGATTAAACAGGTGTCCCAAAATCACTGCCTTTTGTCCAAAAGCCCCAAGCATAATTCCCACTCTATGAGGACCAAGTGACCCAAAGGATCCAGCACACTACCCTGGACAACCTGCCCTGGTGGACCTTCCTAGTGTAGGGCAAGTACCACTAGTACTAAAAACCTCTCCAAATAAATATGCATGGGTGGCCTCCGACACTCTGGGAAAAAAGCATTGGATCAACACATGCTGGGTAATTCCATCATTTTAAGTTTCTGCCTTTTGGGGGCAGACTCTGTTGTGTTCACTTTCCACAGAAGAACACCGAGGGCCATGAAGACCAGATAAACCATGATAATACTAGTATTAAATAGTAAGTACTTACTATGGTAAGATACTTGTCTGCATCTTACCACAACACCATGGCCAAAACTCGGCTGAGTGGCCGTGGTCTGAAGCTACCATCAGGTACACCTGATGTGTTCTAGGATCCTACCCCAGAAGCCGTCACCCAAACCTAGTGACCGTAGTACTACACGACTCTTGAGGTACATACCGTCAAAATGACTGGGGTTGGGACCGAAAAGATTGGCCCAGAGTGATAACTGGAACAATTGGTGAAGAAATTAAGGTAGGATGCAGAAAAGTGGAAAAGTCTCCTTATGAGAAAGCTTCCACCGTTGCAATCGTTGGAAATTTTCTAGAATCAGATGTGACAAGCAATTTGCACCCCAACATCATGGCAGAACTCTGCGCCACAGCAGAGTGGTCATGGAACAAATAATCCCCCCTCATACTGTGTTGTCATCAGAAAAATATTAGTTACTATACCCTGGACCCCTGTACCAACAAGGTGGAAATTACAAAGCTTTGTAAAAACCAATCTACTGACTGACTGTTGGTATCATTTCACTTGAACCAAATCAACCTCTGTAACATGTAATTGGCAAAATGACCTGACACATCAGTCAGGTCTGAAAGGTCTAATTCATAGACTCAAAATCAATGCAGTGGCACTGAGTGCAGTAATCACATACCATGGTGTAAGCACCCCCCAGTGCTGGATGACAAACATAATGTTTTCCCTCCCTTTATGGGAATGCAAGGTGATGATGTGACAATAACCTGAAAATTAATTGCTGAATCCTCATTGAACCTGTATACAGTTATGGCACAGGACCTCATGGCCATGTTCTGTTTTGTGAAATTCAAAATCAGAATTGTTGGCTAAAGCTGACTGATGTACAATTTTCCCATCAAATCGTGTGTGGGAAAAACAAAACCAAATACTGGGGAGAACTTGATGTCAATGTTGTAACACCTACACCTACCACCACCCAACCTCTGATTATACTGAGC